GCACTTTAGGTTCCAGGCTCCAGACTGTGGCCAAAGAGGCTTCTACCTTGGGAATCCACTGTATATCTTTACCCGGTGTGGATCTTTGGCACCAGTTAGACCTTGTCCTGCTCAGTGAGCTTTCTTTGAAGAGTCTTTAAAGCTTCATTTTCCTAAGACACTAATGGATTTAAAGGAATAATTCTGTTAGATGACCTGCTGGCTGCTTGGGTAATTTTAGAGATTAAGTGAGTCTTAGCCTGCAAACCCTATCGAACTCCCCCTTGTTTTGTTATGTTTGTAAGCCCTGGGGAGTTATCTGGCAAGCCAGACTTTCAATCCTCTTACTGCAGCCTATGTGACCATTAGCAAGCCTAGGAGCTTGTGTAGCAGTTTCCCCACTAGGGCTCCTCAGTCTTCACTTTAAGAGTAAGTTCCTGTTTGGAGCTTGGTGATGCTGCAGAGGATCTCAGCTAAATTGTCCAATGCTCAGCTAGCGTACTCTCCAAATGTCTGTTTCCATGTGTGACTTGTACTGTGGTGGATTTCACATCTGGTTTCCCCTTTTCCTGGGATTTAGGCTCTGACCGTACTTTCCTGTTTGTGCCTAGGTTATTTGGCAACACTTAACTTTTTCTCCTCTCTCCCTCTTCCCCATTGTTAATATCTTTAGGCCGGAGGACATTTCCCCGGATACGACGGCACCAAGGGAATCTATTCACGCTAGTGCCATCAAGCCGCTCCCTGAGCACCAATGGGGAGAATCTGGGCCTAGCAGTGCAGTACCTGGACCCCCGCGGACGCCTGCGGAGTGCTGACAGTGAGAATGCTCTTACTGTGCAGGAAAGGAACATCCCAACCAAATGTAAGTGTTTGGCTGCTTTGCACCTATCTGGGACAATGGGTACTGAGGGGAGGTATCGTGGATGAGGGGAGAAGACTCCTAATTCAGTGGAGCTGGTGTCCATCTGTCCAAGAGCCTCATTAGGACACACTGCTCCAGAACCATGCAGCCTCAGGGTTGAATGTGAACATAGCTGTCTACTCTGGTTCCTCTGGTAGACTGGTCCTGATGCTTAGAAAATAATTGTCTGAAAACTTGGTGCTCCTCCTGCTGGATTGCCTTTAGCTCCCACCTGTGGTGGGGAAAGCTAGTTTGTATCGTGCTAGGAAAGCATTTCCAGTCTTAGAATATCAGGCTTCTCAGTGTTCTGATCATACTATTCAGCAAATCCTTTTTTAGTACATTATGATCCGATGGTGTAAGAGAAATGTCAGTGGCTGACTATGCCTGAAATAGCTCCAGTGTCACTAAATAAGAATATTTGGATTTAAAAATACTTTGACAGCAGTCCCTAAAATACCCAGTGCTGTGTCCCTCTCCATGATCCATACCAGCAGTGGTCTGTTTGCTGCAAGCTCATGCTACAATAATTTTCTTTCCTATTAAATAGCATTGACAACTGTGCCACAAGGTAAACAGCTGAATCCAGTTGATGACTAGGGTTTTAAAGAGCTGTTTTTCTGTCTTGGTTTTGTTGTGTTGAATAAGGGTTGACAAGTACAGCTCGTTATTAAGAATTATTTTTGGTTTTGTGATTCTTGGTAGTAAGATTTATTTCCATGTTAATGGAACCCTTGACTTTTTGGGGAATGTTTCAGTTGGTAAAGAATACAGATATCCACATTCTTCCCTCATAAAAAAAAAAATAGATACAGAAGCAGAAAATGTTAGAATGTAATGAGCATCAAGGACCTTGTGCAGCGGCTTTGAAAGTTAACCCCCTAAATTTGAGTCAGTAAACTGTTTAAAACAAATTAACTAGATCAAATGTATCTCCTTAAAATATTGACTCCATATAGCAACGCTAATTCTTTATGCCTCTTTGCATCTTCAAATTGTCCAGCTGGCTGCATTCTGGCTGTTTTGTTTTTTTATAGTGAAGGTGCTTTTCTTAGATGCTTCTTTGTACTGTAATTGGATGCAAAGTGGAGGTAAAACACTGACTATCTGATTTAGAGTTCCTGTTTCTTGCTCTGTGCTGGCGTAAATGGCTGCAAAATATGTAGTTCAGTAGAAAACTGAGCTAAATTATCAGAATCTACCCCCAGCGGTTTTGTTCCCTCACAAAACACTCTTCTAGCCAGAATTTTGATAAGGACCCCTGGAAATGGTGTCAAAACATCTTGTCCTTACTGCCATTTGCAGCGGGAAAGAAGTGATCTTAGCAAGATACTAGGAGATTATGGGTTTGATATTCACCTCCCTCCCCCTGAGGTAATGGCAACTTCTACTGAGCAGATGCTGGGAGGAGGAAGTGCTGTGTTCCAAACCAATAGATCACTTACCTGGCCAGAAACAATTGCTGTATTCCAGTGGATTTATCTCCGTGGAACGTCGATGGTGGGGTGAAGCATCACTAAGTTCAGTGAAACAATTTGTGACATATGCTCCAAGTGGAACTGCACAATAGTATTTCATTGTAATTGGGTTCCGTGTGTTCATTGTCGCACAAATGTGATTCAGTGATTAGAACGGATCCAGGAGTGCAAGTTGGATTTTTGAATTCTCTTCAAGATTCTGCCACTGACGCACTGTAAAATGGGTATTGAAATTGCTTCGTAATAGGGTCTGGTGTTTGTTAAGCAACTTGTGATCCTCAAATAACACTATAAAAGGGCAAACTTTGTTGTGTTTGTAGCTCCGAGTGCCCCAATAAACTGGCGACGAGGGAAACTTCTGGGGCAGGGTGCCTTTGGTCGTGTGTACTTGTGCTACGATGTGGACACTGGCAGAGAGCTTGCTGCTAAGCAGGTCCAGTTTGACCCAGACAGTCCTGAAACAAGCAAGGTATTTGAAAGAACGCCTCAGTGCTGCCAAACCTAACTCTGCAGACTTGGAGAGTTTTGTAATGTGCCTGTCTCTCTGAAAGCTAATGTCTTCTGCCTTTGCTAGGATCCAGGCTGCAAGGAGTCATTTAAAAATTGCTCTTACGGTAGTGTTTATCTAGCTTATGCTTGAAATTGAAATCTATTTCTTTACTCTACTTTTGGCCCTCCATCCCCTTGTGGCTGGTTGCCAAGTTATTGTGGGTGCTAAGCTGCTACCATTAGCCTTGTTGGGCAAAAGTGCATGTGAAAAACAACATTGAGACATTTGGGGGGTTGACATACAATTTTGTGTTTGCTAAGCCCCTTTACCAAGGGTAAAGTGGTAAATCTTGGATTGGTTTACTGACCTAGTCTGGTGTCAATTTCAGGAAGCATCTAAAGATTTATTGATCTCTAAATTGAACTTGGGTATGTAACTTCTTAGCTAAAAGGAAAACTGTATTTCCATGCTGAAAACTTGTCTGTCTGTCTTCCCAATTTTAACTGACACTGCTGTTGAAATGGGAGCATGGGGACATGGGGTGCATGGCCTTGCAAGAATTATAGAGTAACTTGCTGCTGCCTGCACCATGACTCTAGTGTTCAGTGCCATTGGGTGACTCTGCCAATTTAACATGCCACCTTCCCAACATCTAGTGAGTTCACTGAGGCTGGAGAACTGATCCATGAAGGTTTGATTGCTTTGAGCAATGGGTTCCAGTTTAAGGGAGGACCTGACAATCAGGATCTCTTGATTCAGCCTGAAATTGTTGGGTAGCCCTCCTGCATTGCATTGTGAAACCCTGTGGCAGTTGGATGAAGGAAAGAACCATCATTTGTGTGTGTGCAGATGCTTTAGATTCTACAACATCTGCATCTCCTCTTCTGCTTGAATTTGAATAATACTCCTGAGCATAAATCGAGACAGGGTACCAGTGATTAGGGTGTCTAAGAAATACCTTGGTATCTAAAGGGCTGAGGGATACCCATGCTCATTCCTAGCACATCTGCAGGGTTTTATATTCAGTCACTGTTAAACAAAAAACAGCCCTCCAGTATGGGAGGGAAGGGTAAAATAATTAATCTTTTTTAATGACTTGGCCAAAGCCATGCATTAAGACATTAGCTTCTCCCCGAGTCTGCGTTAATTAATGCCATCCAGAGGACAGCTTTAAACTAAGCCCACAGGCACAAGGGGTCACATTAGTGCCATCCTGGTTGTATCATGGGCAAGGGTTGTTGAAATAAGGTTCTCCTTGTGCATTATACCTAAACTGCTCTCAACATCTGTAGGAGGTGAGCGCTCTGGAGTGTGAGATCCAGCTGCTGAAGAATCTCCAACATGAGCGCATTGTTCAGTACTATGGCTGCCTGCGGGACCGAGCAGAGAAGACCTTGACCATTTTCATGGAGTATATGCCTGGGGTAAGTCTACAGTAAAGGTACACCTACACAGCAACATTAGTTCAAAATAACTTAGTGTGCTTCTATACAGCAGGCAGTTATTTCAAAATATCAAAATACGGTCAAGCTGGAGGACTTCTTACTCCAACTCCTGCAACCCTCATTGTACGAGGAGTAAGGGAAGCCGGGGGAAGAGTGCTCTATGTAGAAATAAGTGCTGTGTAGACACTCCCACTTTCGAAATAAAAGCTATTTCAAAATAAGCTACGTAGCTCAATTTGCGTGGTATATTTTGAGTTAAGCCTGGTATGTAGACACACCCTAAGTGAGCAAGCAACGTTTGAGTTAGAAACGCCGTCCCTGTTGGTTTACTCTGACCAAACCACCCTCTAATTCTGAACATTTCAACCTTGACAGCCTGTCAGAGCACTACCGTCCTTCCCCTCCCCCCACGTCTCCTTTTTTATTATGGAGGTATCCCATTCTCAACCACCCACTTGTCCTTGTCCCACACATGTCTTCCTGGACTCTGTGCACGGAACACTCTTCTCTGAGGCTATGCCTGCCTCTTCTGACAAAGCCCTCAAGCAATCAGATGAGCAATAAACAGTTGGAGTGAATCAAGGATTTATTATATAACTAAAACATGTGATACTGTATTTTTAAACCTTTCCCTGCCCTCTCACTGCATCTGATTGGAAGCCCTTTAGGGCAGAGACTGTTTCTTCCTGTGTGTCTGGACAGTGCTTACCGTGTTGTAGGTGCCTTGAGAATACATACAAATTCACGGGTCAGAAGTATGCAAAGACATGGGATGGCTCTATAGTTTCAGTGTTGGAACAATAGCTTCTAGCCACTGACATCTGAGGCAAACGTGCATATTATGTGGTGCTTAAAGGAGATTGTTTTGGAAGATCTGGGAAATAATCCGATCAGGGCAGTTGAAACTTGGCCCAGTGTGATCTGCCATGATATTTACCTGTGGGATAATTTTGAGAAACTGGAATTCCCTAAGTCCCTTGCATGGCTGGATGCCATTCTTGGTGTGCCCCATGTGCAGGGGATTGGAATTTCTTTACCAGCATTTTCTGTTGGGGTCATGTATGTGCTCTGCATGTTCACACTCCCCCTCCCAAGACATAAAGGGTTAAGTTACACCAACCTCCACTCCATTCCTTATCACTAAGGCTGCGATTTAGTAACAGGTATTTTTAGTAAAAGTCATGGATGGGTCACGGGCAATAAACATAAATTCACAGGCCCATCACCCATCCATGATTTTTACTGCAAAAATACTCGTGACTAAATCTTCATGGGGAGGCCACTGCTGGCAGGGTTCTGGGACCAGAGGCGCCAGCTGCCACAGGCTACCCCAAGATCGTTGCCAGGAGCCGCTGAGTAGCAGCTGCTCCAGCAGCCCATAGGGGCAGCCGTAGCTTCAGTGGTCCCTGGAGCCAGCTGCCAAGGACTACCACAGCTGGTCATAGGGCCACTCCAGCAGTGGCTGGCTGGGGGTTACCTGAGCATCTGGGGTCAACCACATTGGCCGTTGCAGAATTCAGAATTCACAAAGTCATGGAATTCGCGACCTCCGTAACAGATACGAAGCCCTATTTATCAATTCCTGTCTCCTCTTAGTTATTGGAGTCTCTCTTGTGCCAAAGTTTAGTGTAGTTACTGTAGTTAGCTTTTTAAAATTTTAATTTCACATCCTGTTGGCAAAAAACTTTAGCTGGTAGTCCTGCAGTGATGTTGGTAGTATCCAAACAGACCTCAGATAGTGGGTCTCCGCAAAGGGATTAAAATCTTGTTTTATACTCCATCCTACCACAGGATCATTATTTCTGGCTGCTGCCAAGGAGAAGTTAAGGCAATCTAGTCCCTCTACCACAGGGGTCAAGGAGCTTAGAATAGCTTTTTTTTTCCTTGGTAGAAAAGAATTTGTTTTCAGCTAGTTTGCACCTCAGAAGAGCTGACCATATGGTAAGCACAAACTCTTGGGTAATAAGTAGATTCTGTTGTTCTTGTGGATTATTTCTGAGCAAATCTTTCCTGTTTGCTTTTTGGTATAGGGTTCCGTGAAAGACCAGCTGAAGGCCTATGGTGCACTGACAGAAAACGTGACACGAAAGTACACTCGCCAGATTCTTGAGGGAGTCTCCTATCTTCACAGCAACATGATTGTGCACAGGGACATAAAGGGTGAGAGCACCAGGCCAGTCTTGGGCACGGATGTGAAGATGGGGGGGCTGAGTGTTTATATAAGAGACTGCAAGTCATGGTTTGGGGTTTGTTTGAGCTTTAGTTGTCTGGATGATGTCTCCTTTATGATGGCTTTCTGAGGGCCCAGAACATTGAGCATAGGAACCTTTATCTGAGAAAGAGGACAGCAGTATATGGAGGAGCTGAGGGTTGGTGGTTGTAATGATGATTTTGCGGGGCGCTCTAGTCTTTAAAATATCTCAACTGCAACTGCTGATCTTTCTCCCACATCGCAACAAAATGAGGCTTTGTCCCTGGCTGATTCTCACTCCCACTTGCCTCCTATCTGCCGTCACCTGTTTTGCTTCTTTTTTGGTTCCCTTTTAGATTAGTCTGTGCCTGGTCAAATTGGTATCTTTTCATTGGACAGGCAGGATGGCTCAAGAATACCATGCAGGTATTGCTTGAAGCTGCTGTTCTACGTATCTTACTTCCCCTATGCGGAAAATCTTCTCTGACCTTGGGCACTACTGTCTTATGTGACCCACAAAACCTTTAAGCCGCCAGTTCCCAGTATTATCCTGTTAAGAGCCAGCCAGTCTCCTTAGGGTTAACAGTAGTTGTCACACAGTTTGGTTATCCAGTGGAGGACGACGAGTATTCTGATGAGGGTGAAATTTCCTGTCCAAGCCTGTAAGTCCACATCACATCTTTACCAGACTGATAAAAATGTGTGAGTCATTGGTACTAAAACAGCCTCTTTCTACTGGGTCTTGTATGTTCACCTTCATGCTATTCACATGAGCACTGATCTTCTCTAGCAGGTTGTTCACCCCCATTCTCAATGCCACATTTACACACGTGTCTCCAAGGAAGTGGCTGGATCCCTGTCATACTCTGCATAGGGCCCTGCAAACCTAAGACTGCCCAACAGAGGGCACTCGAAATGGGGCAGAGCAGGTATACGAAGCAGCAGTGATTCCACTGTGAATGAAAAAGGCCTCAGCTTAGGCTCTAGCATAGCTCTGTACAGCAAGCCCCCATCTGCCAGTTCCCTTTGGCCAGAGTAAACAGGACCTCTAAGCAGATAACATGGGCTAACTTGTTCATTGCATGAGTTCAAAGTCATCTAATTAGTTCCATCTGCTAATCTTTGCTTTCTGGCAAGCAGAATATACACGAAACGGCCCCTTTCTGCAGAGCTATGTACAGTCTCAGCCATTGACTAGAGGGGCCCTTTATAGGCTGCCTGACCTGTTGGCAGACACCACAACAATGAGAACGCTGACTCAGCGCTCTCCCTCTTCCCCTCCCCCCACCCCCTCCCCTGGCCGCAACACACACACCCCTTCACTTCCTTGTGTTTTTCCCTAACGTGGCAGCTGTTGGCACAAGGCTTGTTTGCAGCCTGCAGATCAAAGATGGTGGCCTGTCAGGCCACCAGAGGCTTAATTGGGGAAGATCCTATCATGGTCCCAGGCACATATGGGTGAGATGTACAGCTTGGAAATCCAGCAGCAGGATTGTACATCAGCTGCCTGAATTCGTTTCCTTCCAGGAGCCAATATTCTCCGTGACTCTGCTGGGAATGTGAAGCTTGGAGACTTTGGGGCCAGCAAGCGGCTGCAGACCATCTGCATGTCTGGAACCGGTATCCGCTCTGTCACCGGCACGCCGTACTGGATGAGCCCAGAGGTGATCAGTGGAGAAGGTTATGGAAGGAAAGCAGATGTTTGGTGAGAAGTTGCTCAAGCTTTATCAATATTCCATGCAAAGATTTACAGCTTTCCTTGAGACGAAGGTGGTGCGGTCAGTTGTTAATGAATCGGCCCTGCCTCTATAGAATTGGATTCAGATTTAGCCTGGATCAGACATGAAAATGAATTTGACGCAATATGGGCTAGCTGATAGTGTGAGACCTGGAGCTTTTGGACTGTTGTGCAATCTCATCTTCAGAAATCCATTCCTCAAAGCTGTGGTCCCCAACTATTGCATCACTGCATGGAGGCAGGAGGGAAGAAGCTACGGAGATGTTTTTCCAAGACACACTCTCTCCTGTTGTTGTATTTCCATCCTTCACATATCCATTAATTGTGTCATATCTTAGGGTACATCTAGACTACACGCTTTTGTCGACAGAAGTTTTGTCGACAGATACTGTCGACAAAGCTTCTGTCGACAAAGAGCATCTAGACTACATCCAGTTCTGTTGACAAAGCAAGCTGCTTTGTCGACATGGCAGTGTAGACGCAAAGGACAGTTTACATGCAATAACGCCTTCTGTCGACAGAACTCTGTCAACAGAAGGCGTTATTCCTCATAAAATGAGGTTTACCAGCGTCAACAAAATTGCTGAGTTCTGTCGACGTTATGTCGACAGAACTCCGTGGTAGTGTAGACGCAGGTTTAGTTTTGTCGACAAAAGTCCACTTTTGTCGACAAAACCCTGTAGTCTAGACACACCCTAAGTTAGACAGAAAGCCAATTGGGATACAGTCCTGACTTTAGCTGGTCTACAGTGCCATAAATATGCATACTGGTGTATACAGAACCGTGGGGTAGGAATGCGTTGGACTAGGAAAGTAGGGGAGCTGTAGGTTGGGATTGAGGTGAATTGGCAGACAGGCATATGGAAATGATATACATTCTGATTAGCACAAGTCAGGAAACTGTACTCACGCAATAGAGGAATTAACAGTCCCAAATCCCTGAAGTATTAGTTTTTAGAGACAGTGGGCTGGCCAGCGCCATAGTTAAGTTTTGTAGCTTTAATAAGAGTTACCCTTAAAAGCAATGCTTATGTCTCCTGAAATAAATGAGGACTGGATTATTTTTCCTACAACTACTTAACAGAATTGTAACTGATAATTTTGCCCATTATACAGTGGTCTCTCCCAACTAGGAAGCTCTGGGAAAGAATGGAGCTTGTGTGCTTCCCCCAGGATTGATGCAGTTGTAAATTTCCTCTTGGTGCTGACACTGGTCCATTCCCATCAGAGCAGCACTGCTGTTGGCTGACCTCCAGGTTTTACAATCCTGATGCTTATTCTGAGGTCAGAATTTTCCAATCCCATGTTAGTCTCAGAGTAGATGTGTATGGGAGAGAGACAGAATTGTAACCAATCTGGCGCTCAGTCTCCGCTGCCGACCTCTCCAGTTTTTTTTATAGCAAAATATGTGAGTTATTTGTTATTTCTGGA